CGGAGGAACTTTTCCCAGTCTGCCCCTGACTCATGGAGAACCCACGCACGAAGGATCGAAATGCTGCCCAGTCCTTCTCCATCCCCGTGGGCATTGTGCTCAGACCGCTGTGATCCATAGAGCTTCAGTGGCTGATTTCAGGAGTCAGTCACAGGCTTTTCTTCTTAGTCTGTCTTAGTCTGGAAGCATCTGTGAAACTTGCTCAGCATCACGGCGACACACAATCCTCCCCTGGCCAACAAGTGGTGGTTGCAAATGAGATGAACTGGCAGAGAATCAAACCTGAGTTTCCCGCATGGAAGGTGAGAAATCTAACACTGAAATACCACTCTCCCCTAAAATAAATGTTACTGTCAGACAAATATAGAAATAAAAATTGCCAAGTAAGTCAAGGCATACCAGCACAAACGTTGACCCACAAATTCCAATTCTAAAAACACAAGCCACAGATACCTTACAGATGTCTATGCTCATATGGGCAAAGATGTAGGTCAAAGTATGTTCACAGTAGCATTGTTTGCATTGGCCAAAGGAGATAAAAGGGTAAAACTCCTAACTCCGTGGAGCTAGTTAAATAAATGGTGTCAAAATTCATATGATTGAATTCGAGCCAGCCAGCCCTTTGGAAAAGTGAGCTAGGTCACTGATTGTTCTGACAGCTCCATGATGTAGTGGTAAGTGAAGAGAAAGAACAGGACCCAGCACCATTGTGTTTCATTATATGTGCATGTACATGCGTGGGTTTACATGGAAAGCATCTGGATAAGTAAAAATAAACCGTTAGTGCTGGCCTCAGTGTGGTAGGTGCATTTTTCTGATAAACAAGACTCATATCTTAACTTTCAGAGTTTTATACCATTTGTTCCATTTACATGTTTCAACATCTTCATTATTTTTTAATAATAGAAAATATTATGCTTTTTTTTTTAAAAAAAAAAAGAAAACTAAGAGATCTGAACAAATTTTGAATGACAAAAGAGAATTTGGAATAGTATTGGCAAGTAAAGCACATGGCTGAGCAAGGCAATCACAGTGGTCCCTGAAATTCAAACTCTTAACAAGGAAGCAAGTGACCAGCAGTCACTGGCCTTGGCAGATGCATGGCATCTATAAAGGGCATCAGTTCTCGGCCTGAACTCTGGGAATAACAGGATGAAACAAGAGAATGTTTTAACCACATCTCTATGACACTCAGATATCTGATGGAAACCAAAGAACCCAGGCAGAGACCTAGTTACCCTCTGCCCACATGACACAAAGTGCCTCAACCTTGAGACATAATATAGACCAATTTTCAAATTTCCACGTGGTTGTATTTCATGCTTCTGTCCCCAAACAAGATTAATAAGATGTAGCAGAAATGCCAAGCCTCAGGTGTACTAAATTATGTTTAGTTAAGTCACTTAAATTTTAGATCTCAATTTTTTTCATCTACCAAAGCAATTGAGAAGAGGATTATAAAATCCTATGTGTAGCTTAAAAGAGTCCAATATAAATGCCCATTTACAGAATGAGATAGATCACTACACACACACACACACACACACAATTTCCACAGGGGGGGGAAACTCACTGCCATCAACTCGATTTCTGACTCATAACGACCCCCACTGGGCTTCCAAGGCAGTAAATCTTTACAGAAGTACATTGCCCAATCTTCCTTCCATGAAGCAGCTGGTGGGTTTGAACCCTCAACCTTCTGGTTAGTAGTCAAATGCCTTAGGCACTGCACCACCAGAATTCCTTAGGGTATTCTTAGACCCTGTAAAATCTATTAACATGCTCTGGCTGAAAACCCTGACTTACATAGTATCACTTCACTCTTACAGAAGTTGAGACGTCAATGCTTGATCAGTACAACATACTAACACCCCATGTAGCCAATGAGCTCTCTTCCTTATTGTTCTTCCCCTGCACATGAAAGGACCACAGAGTCTGGAGTGCCGATGGGTAAATCAGAGCACTGCTGCATCAACAGCAAACCAAAACTCTGATGGCAAGAATACTCCTCTTTGGCTGATTGTATCTCAACCTCAAAATATCTACAGAGTGGCAATGGAAGGAGACACATAAAAAGATAAGGAATCATGTTTTACATTAGATAAACCGAAAAAAACAAATTCACTGCCACTGAGATGATTTCAACTGATAGTTACCCCTATTGGGTTTCCAAGGCTGTAAATGTACACAAAAGTAGCTTTTGCAGAGCAAGTGGTAGGTCTGAACCACTGATCTTCTGGTTAGCAGCTAAATGCCTTATCCACTATGCCACCAGAGCTCCTTACATTAGGTGAAGCACTACTTAGTTGTGGGACCTATGGGCTCTGGACCATGGTCAAGGGTGACATCAAGCTCACTTGACATAACATACTACACAAAAGCATTGTTCTATATCCTACTTTGGTTAATAGCAACTGGGGTCTTTAAAGCTTGCAAGTGGCCATCTAGATGCACCAATTGGTCTTTCCTCCTCCAGAGCAAAGAAGAATGAAGAAAGCCAAAGACACATGGAAACAATTAGTCTAAGGGACTAGTGGACCATGACAACTTCAGCCTACATGACTCTGACACCAGAACTAGATGTTTTCCGGGTACCACTGTCAACTATTTGGAAAGTGATCAGTGCAGGAGATCCTGGATAGAGTGGGAAAAAATTGTAGAACGAAACTCAAAATCATGAAAAAGACCAGGCTTCCTTGTCTGATAGAGACTGATGAAACCCCTGAAACTATGGCCCCTAGTAACATTTCAGGCCTGGAATTGAGCTCACTCCTGTGGCTTCCAGCCAAACAGGCATACAAGGTGAACATTTACACTTGATAGGTACACATCTTAGAACAATCAACTGTGGGAGCTCAGAAAGGAGGTATTTGCACAGGAAGATAGCTCAGAGGGCATGAATGCATAGGAAAGAAGGACACAGGGAAAAGGTAACCACAGGAAGGAAGTGGGAAGAGAACTGTTACATTATGGGGATTGCAATCAATGTCGTGAAACAAAATGTGGATGAACTGCTGTATGGAAAATGAATTTGCTCTGTAAACTTTCACCCACATCACAATTTAAAAAAAAAAAAAAGGTGGGAGTGAGTAGTTTATATCACCCCTTCCCATATTTGCTTCTGTGCTCTGCCAATATCCTACAAGAAATTAAAGGCAGAGAGAAAAACTAAGCATTGTGCTGCAATATAGATGAACATTGAAAACATTATGTTGCATGAAGCCAATCAAAAAAGGACAAATATTATATGATCTCATTTGTATGAAATATGTAGAATAGCCAAAGGTATAGAGATTGAAGTTTAATAGGGTTTACCAAGGGTGGAAAGGAGGAGGGGGGATGGAGAATCATTGTTTAGGAAGCACTGAGTTTCTTTTTATGGTGATGGAAAATTTGGCAATGGATACTGGTGCTGGTCGCACAACACAACTGATAAGATTGATGTCACTGTATTGTATACCTGAAAGAGGTCAAGTTGGCAAATATTGTTATCTATATTTTTACAACAAAAAAAAAAGAGGGAGAAAATACTGGACACTGTGATAGAAAATGAAGAATATTATATTTATATGGAAACATATGGCACCCCTCCTCCACGCCCGTAACGAGCATCATAAGTTGATCATGGCTCTTTCTGTGCAGTCTATATGTGAGCTCAGACACCTTCTCAACAAAGCATCACAACCACTCACTCCCAGTTGAACAGGTGGCTTCCAAGTTCAAATCAATTTGTCTCTACGTGAGATAAATTGGCAGCTGTGTTGAAGGACAACTACATTGGGAGGGGGAAAAGACTTTGGTATATGCTCACTTTACTATAGGTAGTAACAAGCTAGAAAGGGGTTGAGAAATACTGTTTCAATCAAGAATTAGAAAAACAATATCCTTCCTCATTCCCAGGCAGGATGGCCAGGAAGATATCCATTTATAACTTTATGGTCACTGAGAGTGATCTTGCCACTATAAATTGAGCCCAAGGCTTAACAGCTTGTAAAGCTACATTTTCTGAGGGTGACTGTGTATGAGAAAGAAAAAAGGAAAAGAATTTCATGATTAATGGATGTTCACATAAAGTCATTTTCAAAGTCCTTTTTGTCCACTTATTATTTCTTTTAGTGTAATGGGCAGGGTGCATTGGTAAAGGATTTATCCTAGCTACTGCTTCATCTGGGAGTGTCTGGGTGGTGCAAAGGGTTAATGCACCCAATGACTAATGAAAAATTGGAGGATTGAGCCCACCCAGAGGTGTCTCTAAAGAAGGGAGACAGCTCAGGGGGCAGGGGTGCATGGAGGATGGACACAGGGAAGAGGTAACTATCAGGAGGAGAGGAGCAGTTGCATTGGGGTAAATTGTAGTCAATGTTGTGAGACAAAGTGTATGTGAAGTGCTGTATGGAAAGTGAATTTGTTCTGTAAACTTTCACCCAAATCACAATTTAAAGAAAAAAGAAGAAGAAGGTTCTGGCAACCTACTTCTGAAAATTCAGCCATTGAAAACTCTATGCAGCATAGCTGTAATCTGACACATATAGGGTAGCTATGTATCAGAGACAACTTAATTGGCAACTGGTTTTTATTGCCTCCTCTCAGAACCTCCAGACACATTATCCCATTGTTAATGGCAAAAGAAGGGCAAGAAACTTTCAAGGATGCATAGGTAATCCTCTTAGCAATGCTATGAAGTTGGTAACAGCCTCATTTAACACATTGAGACACAATAGTTTGGTAACTTTCCCAGAAATGTCAGCTTTGTGGCAGGACCAGGAGGTGAACTCAGGACTGACTACTCCAAGGCACCTCCACACGTCCTTCCATGGTTTTGTCATGAGGCCTGTCTGAGACACAGGATCCTTCTGCAGTTCTCATCACCCTTCAGGAAAACAAGTACTAGGCAGTGGAAATGAGGTCACTGGAAGTCCTCTCACAGCGGGCCACTTTTGAGGAAAAGAAGAGGGAAAGTCTAAGACTGAGCCCTTGGGAACAAGCAGCTTCTCAGGACCATGGGAGGGCTGGTAAGTGTTACATAACCATCCCTTCACTTTCATTCCCAGAAGACCCATGTTCTGCCTTGGGTTTCTGGTCAGTTGTGTCTTAATGTGAACTTTCAATTATGTTATGATCCCAAGTAACACCATGGCACAACTGAAGCCTTAGTTAATAAAATCTTAAGCGCTTACCTAGGTAGACTTGCCCCAAAGTTTTCTAGAAAAAAAAATCCTTATGTACTTTCAAGGCACTTAAATCCCAGGCATCTCTTGGCTAGAAAACTTGTATAGATAAAGGCAAATATTGCAGATTAGCAGTTGGTTTAATTTCTTCTTACTTTGATATGCCCAATGTGTTTGCAAGTTTGAGAATCATCACACATCCTACTACTCACACCTCCATGTTATTGTTGTTAGGTGTCGTAGATGCGGCTCCAACTCACAGCAACCCTATATGCAACAGAATGAAACACTGCCCAGGCATGCGTCCTCATCACAATCCCTGCTATATTTGAGCCTATCTTTGCAGCCACTGTGTCAATCCATCTTATTGAGAGTATTCCCCTTTTTTGCTGACCCTGCAATTTAACAAGCATAATATCCTTCTGACACCATGACCAAAGTCAGTGAGACAAAATCAGGCCATTCTCACTTCCAAGGAACATTCCAGCTGCACTTCTTCAAGGACAGATTTGTTCCTTCATCTGACAGTCCATGGTATTTTCAGTATTCTTCTCCAACACCACGATTCAAAAGCATCAACTCTTCTTTGGTCTTCCTTATTCATAGTCAACTTTTCACATGCATCTGAGGAAATTGAAAATACCATGGCTTGGGTTACATGCATCTTAATCTTCAAAGAGACATCTTTGCTCTTCAGCACTTTAAAGAGGTCTTTTGCAGCAGATTTGTCCAGTGCACTACATCGTCTGATGTCTTAACTGCTGCTTTCATTGGTGTTCATTGTGGAGCCAAGTAATATGAAATCTTCGACAACTTCAAACTTTTCTCCATTTATCATGATGCTGCTTATTGGTCCAGCTGTGAGGATTTTTGTTTTCTTTATATTGAGGTGTAATCCATACTGTAGTCTTTGATGTTCATCAGTATGTGCTCCAAATCCTCTTCTCTTACAACAAGCAAGGATGTGAAAGCAGCATATCACAGTCATTAATTCCTCCAATCCTGATGCTTGTTCTTCTTCTTATAGTCCAGCTTCTCGGAATATTTGCTCAGCATATAAATTGAATAAGTATGGTGAAAGGATACAACACTGACACACTCCCTTCCTGATTTTAAACCATGCAGTGTCCCCTTGTTCTGTTCAAATGACAGCTTCCTGGTCTATGCACAGTTTCCTCATGAGCACAATAAAGTGTTCTAGAATGTCCATTCTTTGCAATGTTATCCATAATTTTTTATGATCCACACAGTTGAATCCCTTTGCATTGTCAATAAAACACAGGTAAGCATCTTTCAGATATTTATTGCTTTCAATCAATATCTATGTGACATCAGCAATGATATCCCTCATTCCATGTCATCTTCTGAATCCAGCTTGCATTTCTGGAACTTTCTTGTCAATATACTGTTGTACTATTTTTAAATTATCTTCAGCAAAATATTACTTGTGTGTGATATTAACGATATTGTTAATTTCCACATTCTGTTGGATCACCTTTCCTTAGAATGGGCAAAAATATGGATCCTTTGCAGTCAGTTGGTCAGGTAGCTGTCTTCCAAATTTCTTGGCAGAGACAAGTAAGTGCCTCCAGTGAAGCATCCATTTGTTGAAACATCTCAATGGGTATTCCATCAATTCCTGAAGCCTTGTTTTTCACCAATAGCTTCAGTGCAGCTTGAACTTTATTCATAAAGTTTTCAGTGGCCAGTTCCTTGAAAAGTGGGCGGCCCCTTCCTTCTTCCCTGTCTGTCATAGTAGGGAAGCTCGGCTGAAACCTGCCCATCACCGGCCACCCTGCTGGCATTCAAAACACCAGTGGCATAGCCTCCAGGCTTTCAGCAACACCCAAGCCACCACAGTACAACGAACAGACTAGCAAGTGGTGATTTGAACCCATAGGACACCTGTGTATAGCCTGTGTATATAGGATTGGTGTCAATCCATCTAGTTGAAAATTTTCCCCTTTTTCACTGACCCTCTGTTTTACCAAGCATGATGTCTTTCTCCAGGGACTAGTTTCTCCTGATAACATGTCCAAAGTACATGCAACAAAATCTCCATTCTCAGTTCTAAGGAGCATTCCGGCTGTACTTCTTTCAAGACAGATTTTTTTTTATTCTTCTGTGGTCCATGGTATATTCAGTATTCTTCACCCTACCATAATTCAAATACACATACTTCTATACCCATCCTAAAGACATATTTTTCCACTACTCAGCTGTCAGTTTGTCTTAGTGTAGTGGCTTGCATATTGCTGTGATGCTGGGAGCTGTTCCACAGGTATTTCAGATACAAGCAGAGTCACTAGAGGTGGACAGGTTTCAGTGAAGTGTCTAGACTAACGCAAACTAGAAAGAAAAGCCTGGTGGCCTATTTTCTAGTCAACGAATCAGAATCACCATGAATCAGAGTCAACTCAATGTCAACTAAGAACAACGACAACATACTTTGCTCTTTTACTCTTAAGTGTATCAAAACATAGTCCAACACTCTTTTTAGAAATGCATCACATGGGGGGAGGGCAGGGAGGTTTCATACTCATTAAAGGATTAACAAATGTTCAGAGTGCCTGGTACATGCAAGCATAGTGCAAGGGACATATCTGAGAAATGATGAAAATATGAAGTCCTTTCTGGGTCTTTTACATCAGTGCTTCTCAAATTTCCCAGTGGTGGAGGTACCCGTAGCATCACAAGAAGTTGTGTAGCCCTGGGGAGTTTTTTTTTTTTTTTTTTTTTTAATGAACAAGAGATTTTATTAGTTTCCTAAATTATTTGAAATAGATAACATTCAATAAGAATATATTCAACCTTATTAATAACAAAGAAGTTAAAATAAGTGAAAAATATATTTAGAAATTTAATCTCAATTTGCGTAAACTGAGAGCTAGATAAATTACGTTTCATCTGCATCTTTTAACAAGAATGGACTGGGTTCTGTATGTATTGCTTTGAGAGATATCTACAGTACAATGAAAAAAAATTTTATTTCCTTGGAAAAAACCCCACGAGTTAACAACCTATATATGTATATGTGTCTGTGTATATCATGTGTATATGCTTGAAAAGTGTTTCAGAGGTTAAACATAATGCTAAATCCATGGTTGCTATTTTTACCTTAATTTGTTTGGTTTAGTGGAGACTTTGGATAATATATCCTATGTTTAGTTGTCCTAAAAAGTAATTATCTTTTTAAAGATTAGGTCATGATCACAAAAGTAAAAGTAAATTGAGTATTATTGTGGAAATATTGCTTAATGTTTATCTTTTCTTGATTTATGATTTTGACAAATCAGTGTATTAGTAATTAAAAGCAGAGACCTTTTCTATTTGCAAGAGCTTAATTGTGATGGATTTATGATTCTGTTGCTTGGTTCGTGTTGTTTTTTTCATGTGAATAAGTTTTTATGACCTTGTTTAGTGTTCAAGTTCATTTTGTTGCGGAGTATAACTTTCAGAGTATCTGTGAAAACAAATATTGAACCAAGTGTGTGTGTGTATATATGGATACGTATATACATGTATACATACATATATACATGTATACATATACATATATACACATACACACACCTGCATACACATATATATATACACATATACACACATATATAATATAAATGTAGCTCAGTGTACTATAATTGGTTGTATTATAAATAATCATTCCTGAAATCATTTTATTCATTATCCCAATGGAATGTAACTGACATGCACTGTTTTCATTTTCTTACAGGTGAATGGAACTCTGGTGACTCATTCAAACCATTTGGAGGTGGTGAAGTTAATCAAATGTAGGTGAATGTTATTCCCAATTTTAGTTGTTTTCTGAACCCCTTAAAGCAAGTATTAGGAAATTGTTTTCTGTAATAAGCCAGATAGTAAATATTTTAGGCTTCGTGAGCCATATGGCCATCTACTGAGGAGCCTTGGTGGCACAATGGGTTAGAGCACTCACCTGCCAACTGAAAGGTTGGCGGTTCTAACACACCAGTAACTCCATGGGAGAAAGATGTGACAGTCTGCTTCCATAAAGAATATCACAAAACAAAATGTATATGAATTGTTGAATGGAAATCCAATTTGTTCTGTAGACTTTTGTCAAACTTATGATAAAAAGTAAATAAAAAGATTTGCAGCCTTGGAAATCAAATGGGGCAGTTGTTCAGGCTGCCTGGTACTGCTCTGACAAGAATATACCACAACTGGGATGGCTTGAACAAACAGGAGTTTATTCTCTTACAGTTTGGGAGGCTAGAAGTCTGAATTCAAAGTTACAGGGTCTAGGGGCTGTGTGAAATCCCCTTGACCTTGGGCTTCAGCTCTGCCTCTTGCTCCTTACCCACTGAAGCTAGAGGCATCTCTTCAGCTGTTGGCTGCTAAGGCTAACAAGCCCAAGGTGGACAAATAAAATGACACAGTCCTGATGTTACCAAACCACACCTCAGGCCATTAATTGAAGTCCGTTGAAAGTCCCAAGGTCAGCAATGAATGGCAGGCTCCTGAACAATGACATGGCTACATGCAGGGTTCAAGCGTGCCATAAGCTAGAGACCATTCCCAAAGCTGTTTCTTATATATGGGAAGAAGACCACATCCCTAAAGCAACTACTCAGCTGCTCCAATAGATTCCACCATGGAGTTAATAACCAGTCTCACCATGGGGAATAACTACATTCAGCTGCCCAACCAGTCAACCAGTTCTAGCCAAGTTGACACACAAACTTAACCACCATAGCAGTTCTGCTCTGTCTTACAGTGTCCCTGTGAGTCGGAATTGACTCAACAGCACTGGGATGGTCAGTTACTTCATTCTGTCATTGTAGAGCAAAAGCAGCCATGAACTCTATGTCTGTTAATAGACATGGTTGTTCCAGTAAAACTTTATTTACAAAAGCAGTTTGTGGGCTGAGTTTAGCTCATTGCTGACCCCTCCATTAATGCAAAGTTTGATGTGAATGCTCTTAATTTACAAATAACTGTCTTCTGCCAAATCCATATATGCAGTTAATTATTGTATCTTTATTTATCTTAGTTATATTGAAATCATATATTTGAAAGAGGTGCAAAATCTTATATTTGAAAGAATCTGAGAGATAGGAAGTTGTGAAATCAGAAGCAATGGGCTGATGAACTGAAATGAAACTTAAAAATATCATATAGCATAATCACTTTCCCTCAGATCAGTAAATGATTACATATTCCAGGGTAGCAGTCTTCTCGTGGAAATCTCCAGAGTTAGGAATTTATGATCTTCATCAGAATTTCACAGTAGAGTATAAATAAGAGAGCACTCTTTGTTGCCAAGCAAATCACTCTTGCTTTATTTAATCCTATTTCTTTTCATTGAGTGGACATCTTTAGAATAAATTCAATAACCTGAATTTTTTCTTGTCCTTCTTGTTTGTAGAGTTAAACAATGCTAAATTCCTTTACCTTTTCATTAAAGTACCAGTGTTCTGCATGGTCACTTTGATCATATTTTTAAACCCTAGTACATTTTCAAAAGAAATGTGATGATCAGAATTAGATCTCCACACTTGAATAAATTTGATTACTTATTTAAAGAGATTGTGATTTATATGTGTTTGTGTGCTACATACATATGATAGTTTGTGATACTAGAAATAACTGTATGCTTAATATTTAACTATTGCAGAGTATAAAAAGTAAGTTTATTTCTTTAGCTTTCTAGGTTATATTTTTAGCTCATCCCGATATAAATGTTACAGCACTTTTTTTTTTCCTAGTAACCAGAGCTTTGCTAAAACCTTGCAGTTAAGCATAAAACAATTCTGAGTATCCAAAAACAGACATAAATTTAACATGCCTTAAAAGCCTGTGTACTGTACTTATAAAAGATATCCTTCATGTCCAAAATTTAAATGAATATTTTAGAAATAGTAAAAGTAATTTCAACTCAGAGCAATTTAGAAATGGCTGAAGAAAGGACGAGCAGGAAGCTATTGGAAGTAAGCACATGGGCAAGTGAATATGGTATGATAGATGACTGTCTGCCAGTGAGAGATAAGATTGGAAAACCTTAAAAAGTATGGGATTTGTGACCATTCATAAAAAATTCATAATTTTTAGAAAGTTAGAACATTGTGAAATGATTAATGTTTGTTGTATTGATTACAAATTCCATAGGAGGGTTAAATTGGAAGAAAAGTGTGAAATATATTTAGAAGTTCTATTTGCTAAGAAAAAAGTTTTTTCTTGTAAAGGTCAGTTATCTAGAAAAGTCATTTATATTGAGTATCTCACTTCTTGTTGATACTAGATAAATAATGAATGAATGCTGTTGAGTCTCTGCTTTCTCAAATTTTGTTTTCCTGTGATATGACTAGTGAATTTTCTTCCTCTGTCCTGCAAGTTTTCAAAATTAAAATCCACTACTTACTTACTGTGTTTTTACCTGTTTTTTTTTTTTTTTGGTGTGTGTGAGATCTTTTTAATTTTTATTTTGTAAAGGTAATTTAAAATTGCATCATTATATTCCAGATTTAGTTAAATCTGCCTAATTAGTTTCATCTTAAAATATGATTTTTAAAATTTTCATTATAAAAATTAACCAAGCATAGCCATTAGTAGATAGTTGAAAATAAGTTACACTTCTCTAAATTAAAAAAAAATATATATTAGGGTTTTATTTTTATTTTTCTTGCTTTTAAGTAATATGTAATCTTATGAGTAGTAATTTGTCAGAAAATGGCATTTTGTTTTTTTGGTGGCATTTACAAAAAAGAAGTAAAAGTTGGATCCTTTGCTGTGGAGAAATGGTTATCTGCTGTAAGACTTTCTCACATAGAACTGTCAAAAATTAAGTAGTGAAATGCTATAAAATGTTTCTTGATGATGTGCTTTTTTTCCTTGCCTCTCCTTTTTTCAATCTTCCCAACCCAAGCTGGTTCCTATGTAGCTCTCACTGTTCAGGGACGCCCACCTGGGTCGCCCCAGATTCCACTAGCTGATCCTGAAGTAGAGTCATCAGTCACTGGACATATGTCTCCCATAATGACATCACCTCATTCACCTGGAGCATCTGCGAATATGGAGAGAATCACTAGTCCTGTGCTCATGGGGGTAAGCATAGGAATATTTCTTAGTAAATGCTTACTTGCATTATAATGTATTTGCTTTATATTAAGAGTTTTGAATTATTGGGCCGATAAATTTAAATTCAAGATTCTAGTAAATAATTTTCTAATAAAAAATTCCTTAGTAATTTGGAATGATACTACAGGCATATCTTGTTGTACTGTGCTTCACTTTATTGCGCTTTGTAGATTTTGTGCGGTTTTTTTTGTTTGTTGTTTTTAAGAAAAAAACAAACACAAATCAAAGGTTTGTGGCAGTGCTATTGGGAGCGAGTCTGTTGGCACCATTATTTCCAATAGTGTGTGCTCACTTTGTGTGTCACGTTTTGGTAATTCTGACAGTATTTCAAACTTTTTCATAGTTCTGTTGCACACTTAATAGACTATTGTATAGTGCAAGCAGAACTTTTATATGTACTGGGAGACAAAATATTCATATGACTCCCTATTGCAGTATTCACTTTATTGTGGTTATCTGGAACCAAACCCACAATATCTCCAAGATATGCCTGTATAGAGTATTGGGATAGCAGATTAATTCAACAAATATTGAACACCTCCCATATACAAAACAGAGTGCTAGCCATGAGACTATAATTAACATATCTTATGTTCTAGGTCTGTAATCATCTGAGCATGTATGTTGTAAGAGGACAAGGGCTTTTTATTTTGTTCACTATTGTGTCCTCAGTGCCTAGAATATTGCTTGATATATGATCGGTGTTTAATAAACTTTCGTTGATTGAGTTTGAATCAAGAATATACAAGTAACTATAATACAAAGGCAAAATGTAGACATTATGAGGGAAAAAACAGTAAGTTCTGTGAAGAGGATGAACACCCATCCAGTTGTGGTAAAGAAGGACTTTATAGAAAGATGTTATTTGAATTGAGCCATGGAAAACTGGTTACTTTAAGGAGTAGAGATGAGAAGGCAATCCTGGTTGAGGGAGTAGAATAAACTGAGCCAGGAAAGCACCAAGTATTTTTGGGAAGTTTGCAGGACTCTACTTGGACTGGTATGAATGAGGCATATTAAGGATGTATATTGAGGGAGATGAGCTTAAAAAAAGTAGATTGACTGTTGTTCTGGTTACTTAGCACCACTCTGACAAGAAAATAGCACAAATGGGATGGATCGAACAAATAGGCGTTTAGTCTCTTAAAGTTTGGAGGCTTTAAGTCCTAGTTCAAAGTGCCAAGCTCTAGGGGCTTGTTGAAAGCCCCTCAACCTTGGGTTTCAATTTTTCTTCCTGTTCCCGGCCCGCTGAAGCTAGAGGCTTTTCTTCGCTCAAACAGCTGCTGGCTGCTGAGGCTGACAAGCCCAAGGATGACAAGTAAAAAGGCACAGTCCCGATGTTACCAACCCACATGGCAGGCCATTAATTCAAGTCCCAAGGTTGGCAGAGCATGGCAGGCTGCTGAATGACGACATGGCTGCATGTGGGGTTCAAGCGTGCCATAAGCTAAAGACCATTCCCAAAGTGTTTCTTATATACGGGAAGCAGACCACATACCCAAAGCAGCTACTCAGCTGCTCCAATAGATTCCACCATGGAGTTAATTACCAGTCTCACCATGGGGAATAACTACATTCAGCTGCCCAGCCACTCAACCAGGCCCAGCCAAGTTGACACACAATTTTAACTACCACAACCATTTATTTTGGAAAATCACATTTTTCCTAGCCAGTTAGAATCCATTCAAATGTGTTTATCAACAAGAGAGGGATGTGATCATGACATGGTTTTAGGAAGACTAATTTGGTACATTGGGTTGTGAAACAAGAAGGAAATGATGGGAGATGAGTTAGGGGTCTTTTTTCATATTTCAAATGGGAGGTACTGGGAATTTGAGCCATGCATGAAGGTTGATAGTGAAGATCCAAGTAAGCAACATTCCCTACTAAAATATACTTATGGCAACTTCATTTCTTCTTATATATGAGTATATGGTAGTTTCTCCAACTAATAATCAATATTTTATTTAGTAAAAGGAAAATGTAAGAGCAGACATTTCTCTGTAATCTTTTATCTTTAAAATTGTCCTATCTAAAAGCCTGTCTTCATAACTGCCAGGAATAAAGAAAATCCTAATAGGTATGGAAATTGGAGCTGAGGCAGAGCATGTGGGTCTTGCTTTCCCTAATTTTAGCTTTTGCTTTCTCTGTTTTGGTTCTTGTTTCTTTGTTAACTTCTGTTTCTTTTTCTAGGAGGAAAACAATGTAGTTCATAACCAGAAAGTAGAGATTCTGAGAAAAATGTTACAGAAAGAACAGGAGCGACTACAGGTAATAAAGTAGAAATGGGGCTGCTTACGAGCCAGTGAAAGTGTGAGTGGGTATAGTTAAGTTAGTGTTTATCTGAATTATATCAAGCAGTATTGTAATCAATGCTATCATCTTTTTAAAATTTTATTTTCTTGTATTGAGAATATATACAGCAAAACATATACCAATTCAACAATTTGTACCTATACAATTCAGTGACGTTGATTATATTCTTTGAGTTGTGCAACCATTCTCACCCTCCTTTCTGACTCATTCCTCCCCCACTCACTGCCCCCTAAGCTTCCTATCTAATCTTTCGAGTTGCTGTTTTTAATTTGATCCCATATAGATAATTCCTAAAATAACATATAATGCTCAAGGCAAACATTTTCTACTAGGTAAGCTAAACTATTGTTTGGTTTTGAGAAGACTTAAGGGAATATTTTTGGGTTTGGTTTTAAAGATTATCTCATAGCAATAATTTCAGGGAGTCATCTAGCCACCTTGGCTCCAGAAAGTCTGGAATCCGTGGTAATTTGAATATGGGTAGATCTTAAGACATTATGCTCAGTGAAATAAGGCAGTCATGTAAGGACAAATATCGTATGATCTTACTTACATAAAAAGATAAGAAAAGGCAAATGTATAGAGACCAAAGTTTATTAGTAGTTACCAGAGACAGGAAGGAGGGAGGAAAGGGGACTTAAATTGATCAAGGGTAGGGTTTCACAGCCAGATATTGTAATTGATGTCAATTAGTTGTGTACTTGTAAAAAGTTGAATTGGTAAAAGTTGTGTGATAGATACATTTACAGTGACCAAAAAAAAAAAAAAGAAAGAAAGAAAAAGAGTAGCTGGTGAGGCTGCTTATGTATAACCAAACATTTCATGGATTAGTTTCTTGGTTTGGAGGTGTGGGCTCAATGGTTTCATGGCACATCCCAATTAATTGACCTAATCACATGGTTAGTGGTTTTGTTCTATCTCCTAATTCATTACATAGTGCCTGAGGTCTTAAAAGCTTGTGAGCAGCCATCCAAGGCACAACAATTGCCCTCTAATCACCTGGAGCCACAGAGAACAAAGGAGGGTCAGGAATTAGGAGAAAGATAAGCAATGTGTGGCTAATTGCCTCCATGAACAACTGGCTCCTTTGCCATGAGACAGACCAGAAGAATCGGATAGTACACAGCTATTGTTATTGAACATTTTGGTCAAAGATTCTCTAGAAGAGTCCTCATCAAAAGGGGAAAGATGCTATCTATTGTGTTTTGTATATGATAGAATGTTTTTTTTTTCCTATGCTTTGTTGATATAAGTAATTCTCAAAATATTTTTGTAACTTTTCAGTTATTGCAGGAAGATTATAATCGGACACCTGCCCAAAGATTGCTAAAAGAGATCCAAGAGGCCAAGAAACACATTCCCCAGCTGCAAGAGCAGTTATCCAAAGCCACAGGCTCTGCTCAGGTAACATCCTAATTAAAAATGCTACCCAACTTTTTGCAGATTTTCTTTTGGGAATGTGCCAGAGATTGTTTCAATTGCCTTTTAAAAAAAGTTATTTTTTATAGCATAGGACAACAGGATGTCCTGCATAGGTTGTTACAGAAATAATGATGAAAAGAAACGTGAGCTTCTGATTGTTTGCTTGCTTATGATATCATGTTTCTTTGTTCCATAAAAATTTGAAAAACAATTGAGTGCTTTTGCTTTGATGTGACGAACTACTAAAAAGTATTTTGATACATGTATTAACATTTTTGTGGCTCATTTTTGCCATTTTGAAACAGAATGGCAATTGCTAAATTTTTAAGTAGAGACCTAATATTTTACTAAATGGCATAGATTTTCTTATTTAATCTTCACAACCCTCAGATTTTTTCCTCTCCATATTGGAACTTAGATTTACTAACTTGTTCGAGATTGTGTAGCTCAAAATTAATCTGATGATCACAAAGCACGTTCATATTCTTTTTTCTTGGTGCTGAAAAAAGCTCCAAGGGAATGAAACATTTATGTTCTTAATGACTATATTTTTACTGTAATTTTATATATAGCATTTGCCACAGAGGTATAAGTTATGGAGACAGTGGTCTTATTGGGGGAAAAAAAAAAAAAGCTCAGCACTTATAGGTCAACCAGCTTTGTATTCTGTAATACTCAGATTTGAGATATGAAAATAAAATTTAGTTTATTATAAGTTCTTCATACTTCATCTTAAAGCTTAAATGGACAAATTTCTGTACCTTACTGGGTAAAAGCTGTTTGTTTTATCACCATTTTTGAGTGAGCTCTGTAAGTGAAAGTGACAGATTCGTAGATCATCAGTCTAATCTGATCATTTTAAAGTTAAAAAATCATGTTATAGTTGAGAAAACTAGAGTTTAGATTGGTTAAATGACTTATATAAGGTCACATAGTTTATAAATTCTCCTGACTTCCTCATTTGGTGTACCTTTCATTACACGTTATTCATTAATTGTTTCATAACTTTGAGTCTCACTATCAAATTTTGAGTATTAGGAGTTATGTGGACAGTTGAACAAAGACAACATTGTTGCCCTGATTGAATAGTAAAAACATGATTCTTGATCAAAAAGCAAAGAACCCTGGAAGTGCAGTGGTTAAGGGTATGGCTGCTGCCCCAAAGGTTGGCAGTTCAAATCTACCAACCACTCTCCTTTTTGATTTAGGGCAGTCGGCTTTCATAAATATTTATGGCCTTGGAAATTCTATGGGTTAGTTCTACTCTATCTTACAGGGTCTCTGTGAGTCAGAATTGGTTCAGTAGCAGTGGGTTTACCTTTTTTTTAATCTAAAATCTTAAAATAATTTATGTTATATATAGCATTGTATCCCAAAATTGGCAACTTACAAAAATTCTGAATTATTGAAAGGCAGTTAACCAGGTGTTATAACATCATAATTTTAATTGTAAGAGATAAGACTAATAGATAGGAAATGTAAATTACATAAATTGATAAAATATTCTATCTTTTTCTGTATTTGGAAGTTTCAGCTTGTATTCTTTTTATTCAGATAGCACTTTTTCTGTTTTTAAGGTCATGCTGTTTTAGAATTTGTAGTTACCCTTTTGACTGTTAGAGCTTTCAGCATTCTTGATCACACTACAATATCCAGCTTTTAATAGTCTTCACATTTAGTGTGTAGTACCACTCAATTTCTTTATGCAGTTTGTGATGAAAGTTGTTTGTTTATTTTAATGTGTTTGTGTTTCTTTACTCTTTTTTTAGGATGGAGCTGTACTTATACCCTCTAAGCCTTTATGTGATGCTCTAACAGTCAGTGAGGTAGAAGCAGATTCTGGTGACGGACTGGGCAGAATTGACCCTAGCAGTGGAGATGGTTCTCGGCCCATTAGTGACAATGCAGATGTAAGCATTAAGTATTCTAGATCTTTACTGTCTTGTATTCTCTCTTATAGCCCCTTTCTAGATTTGATTTTGGGAGCTCTGGTGGCATAGGCCTATGGCATTTGACTGCTAACCAGAAGGTTTGTGGTTCAAATCCACCAGCCAGCCACTCCTCAGAAGGAAGATTGGGCAATCTACTTCCATAGAGCTGCGAGTCCTCAAGGAGGGGTTGCTATGAGTTGGTTAAGTGCATGGCTGCTGTGGCACATAACAACAACAAGAGATTTGCTTTTGATTTTAAGTTATGTGTATTGAAATACTGTCTTATTACTTAATTTTTGCAGTCATCATCTTTAATATAGCAATTTGATGAGCAGAAATTCTAGACACTGTATATGAGCTTTTAATTCCAGAGCTCACTTTTTCCCTTGGATACTCATTGCCATATATTGTTTCTTTTGAGTGGATGGAATTTCCCAGCAGGCAACTTGTTTGTGGGTAGCGAAATTAGTAACGTCAGTGCTTCTTACTGAACCAAGAGGCTAAGTGTTGATATCTTTAAGAGCATGTTAATATTTCATTTGTGGTCAGAGTGACTCAGTCTTGAATCATGAGATACTTTGTCATTACAAAGAGGAAAAGCTTTAGCCCTGTTAGATACATTACAATTAATAACCCATGTTTAGTAACTACTCTTTCTTGATTAACCCAATAACTGCCAAATGAACATGAGTATTTGTCAAGAAGGTGATAATAAAATATTTTAAGTTGAATATGATTAAGCACTATTGTCATAGGAATATTGAAAACTAAGTTCAATGTTATGTACTCAGCAGTACTATTAAGCAGTATGCAATACTAGCAATAATGACTTGAAAATAGATCAGCCTCTTTAAAGTGATGGAGGAAGTAGTCTAAGCCAGTGTTTTTAAAACTGTGGGTCATAAAATCAATTTAGTGGGTTGGGACCATCGAAAGAACAAAAAGGAAAAGTGCTTTGCATGTAGAAGAGGAAAGTGTTATTTTTTGTGCTTTTGTTGTATGCAGACACACACATATGTGTGTTTGTATTTACAGGTATGTGTGTACTGAATAACAATGTAAAATTCATCTCTTCTTGAAGATTGTGGTTAAAAAAAAAAAAAAAAAGCTACTGGCCTTAAGCCATCATTCAGGACAACTTTTGAGGTTTAGGCCCAATGACTCAGTTCCTCATGCAGGAAAATTTGGGGGAAAAACAAAATGTGATTGGGTAGGCTAAAAGTTTTAATGGAAAATTTCAATTTTGACTCAAGAAAAAAAAATGTGTAATAGCTAACATTTATCGGGCACATGTGCCATAACTGTGATAAGTGTTTTACCTTCCGTGTCTTAGCTAATTCTCAAAACAACGTTATGAAGAAACATTATTGTTGTGGTAACTTTACAAAAGGAAAAAGCAGATGCTAAAGGGAGTAAACTAACCTGCCAAACTTGCCCAGGCAATTAGCAATTTGCCTCCTCCTTGCTCTAAAGTGCTAATAACCTAAATATAAACAAAGGCACTGAGATGTGAAAATGTACAGCATTTTGGGGAAATAGTGAAAATTGTAGTACCACCTGGTATGTTAGGGTTGTGGATAAAATGGCTTAGACTATCTTAGAAACAAAATTTTGAGGTCAAGTCATACAGCGTTTCAGCTTGTTCTGGCCGTAGTGCTTTTGGGAATCCTTCTTGAACTCTCCTTTTTGATTTAGGGTTGCTTCTCCTCTGTGATCTTGTGGCTTGTCTGCACAGTTGATGAGAAGTTCCTTGAGAACGCAGGCATTGTCTTTTTGACTTTATGTTTCCAAAGCCTGGCAGATAGCACGAATTCAGAATATGTGATATGAATGAGAAGTTTGAATTTTTACCTTGTATTGTGAGGAATGCTACAATCAAGTCTGTTTCTTAGGAAGTTACCTTTCTAATATAAAGAGTAAATTGGTGTGTGTAGAAATGGGCATTCTGATGGATTAAGACTGCTTGATATGTAATTGATGTATAATAAGAATGAACAACAAAATGAACAAATGAGAGAGTAAGTAAAGGGTATGGCTTTATCTTGCGTATATTATAGGCCAAATACAATCAGGCCTTTGTATCAAAAGTATGTCAGTTGAAAATGAATTAGGGTAAAAAGACAGGGAGATCTGTAAGAAAAGAACACTGCTTGGCTTAACCTTAACAGATGCGTGTGAATGGCTACTAATTGCCATTTATTGAATATCTACTTTGACTTAGGGGGTTTAGAGAATGTTCTTAATGCTTTACAGATGTTGTTTTGGGGAGCTCTGGTGGCATGGTGCCTAAGGCATTTGACTGCTGGCCAGAAGTCTGGCACTTCAAACCCACCAACCACTCCTCAGAAAGAAGATCGGGCAATCTACTTCTGTAGTGATACCGCCTTGGAAGCCCAAGGAGTGGTCTTTATGAGTTGGACTAATGTAAATGGCTACTAATTGCCATCTATTGAATATCTGCTTTGAGTTAAAGAATGTACTTAATGCTTTACAGATACTGTTTTTAACTCTTATAATATCCTAAAATTGAATATAATGAAGCAATATCACCATTTCATTTTTTATTTTTATTTTTTAACTTTTTGTTGTGATTTGGGTGCAGTTTTATAAAGCAGATTGATTTTACATTCAGAAGTTCATATACATTTTGTTCGATGACACTGATTACAATCCCCACAATGTAACAGCTCTCTTCTCACCTCCTCCCTGTGGTTACCCACTCCCTGTGTCCTTCTCACCTATGCCTGCCTGCCTGCTACCTTTCTCCCTGTGCAAATTTTGCCCTTCTGATCTCCCGTGGTTGATTGTTCTAAGGAGCGTGTAGCCATTCATAGGCCATGTATTGTTTGGCTGGCAGTTGAGCCCTGGGAGTGAGTCCCATTACAAGCCCGAAAGTTGATTTGGGGTGCCCAGAAATCCTGGTTTTTTTTTTTATGTTTTTGAATTTTGTTCCACATTTTTTTCTCCTGTGCTATCACCATTTTAGAGAAGAAGAAACTGAGGCTAAATGAATAAATGAATATTGTAGAAATCCAGGTGACAAATGATAAAGCCCAAACTAGGATATTTACTGAACACATAACAAACTGGTTTAATTTTTGTAACTATCCATTAATGGCTAAAAATTTCCTATTTTTAGCTTATGGATTTCCATATTTTTTTTCAATTGCACTGTAGTAAGTTTATAGGCACTCATTTTGTTAACCTTTTGAATCAACACTTTTTCATTTTATAATCATATTTGTAATATAATCTAGTGATGTTTCTGATAATTATTTATCACTGTTAAAACAAAAATCCCTGCTTTTGCTTACCTTAAAAAAGGTATTAAAGAGTGTCCAAATGTACAGTTCTCACAATAGAAGAAAATTAATCACAAATCATCTTTAATATTTAGTATGTCTGCCACACTGATTTTCAATTTATGGCTGATATTTAAAAAAATATATATTTATTTTGGAAAATTTTCAAGCATATTTAAAAGTAGAAAGAATGGATAATGATCCCTCATTGTGCACTTAATCACCCAGATTCAGCTTTTATCGACACGTGCTCAGACTTACTATGTCTGTATCACCCATTCCCCACACCCTCCAAACACTGGATTATTATTATTATTTTTTTAATTGTGATTTGGGTGAAGATTTACAGAGCAAATTCACTTTCCATATAGCAGTTCACATATACTTTGCAACAGCTCCCCTCCCACTTCCTCCACATAGTTACCTCTTCCCAGTGTCCATGCCTCCATACACTCCTGCCCCCTGAGCTGTCTCCCTGTGCATAAGCAGCCCTTCTTTCTCCCATGATTGTTCTCGCCAAAGAATGTATCTACTTGAGGTAA